AGTTCCACTGCGGGCCTGCTGGAAGCCCCCCGGGGCCTTGATTTGGGCCCCGAGCCACATGTTGGACACCCCTGATGTAAGCTGCTTTGGCTCCCCCTTGGGGATAAAGGTGGGGTGTAAAGTAAATAAATAAATACATTCTAACTTCTGTTCCTCATTTGTTACCACTGAGGCAAATTAACATTTATTATCATGCATAGGGTTGCCAAATGGATTTTGGCCGGGAGCGGGGGGCTCCCGGCCGGCGTCTAAATCGTGCGCACGCACCGCGTGTGCGTCACCCGGAAGTGACGTCGCACGCTGGGGTGGGGTTTCCCCCGGGCCCCGATTCCGCGGGAGCGGGAATCGGGCCTTGAAAGTGGGGGGAAATGCGCCCCCCGGGGGGATTTGGGAACCCTAATCATGCAAGCTAAGGGAAACCCCCCCCCTTCATTTTACTGCTTTAATAGACTATGGGGAAATATTAACTCCCCCCTTCTGTCCATAACATTAACAGAGGTTTGCTCCTATACTACTATTAAATGACTCTAGGTTTCCAACCAGGATGGGTGAGGAGGCATTGAGACTGAAAAGTAAAGGGTCGGGAGAGAAAAATTAGAAGTGGGGATAGATGAAAGGCAGATCATTAAAGGAAGAGAGCAAAATGAAGGAGATGTGGAAACGTGTTAGGGAAATGTAGGAAAAGACAAAAGGTGTGTTTAAAAAAAGAATGCTACCGCACACTAACAAAGCTGCCCCTTGGCAAGATCTGGCTGTGCAGAAGCTGGGTGAAACTGAAGGAAAAAGGAAACCATAGACCTTTCTAGGAGGTTACATCTGGTCCTAGCTGGGCTTCCCTTTCTCCAGTACAGGCTTGGCTGATGGGTTTAGCAAAATTTGATGAGCAGTTTCCCTCAGCCTCGGGGTAAACTTTGCAGAAAGACTGAGCTCTTTGCTGTGCTCTGCCTTCCTTGCGCTCCTAGTGGCTATAGTCAGAACTGCATCAAAATGTTTTTTTTAATGCATTCCGTGAATACTGCTTGAGGCAGGTTCCAGGGGCCTTCAAGCTGACTTGGGCCCCTCAAATTCTGTCCCCTCAGTCCCCCCCCCAGTTGGCAGCCCTGATTATAGCGATCCGAGCAAGAGGCTTTCAAAGCAAGTGAGAAGCCATTGCCTTCCTCTGAAGAGTCTTCCTTGGTGGCCTCCCTTCCTAGTACTGACTCTGCTTTGCTTCTGAGATCTGACAAGATCGGGCTATACCACACTGCCTTCCCTCCACTCTTCCTCCCCTATAACTGCTTTTTGTAGAAAATTTAAAAAGATGAGAAATCTGATCATAGTAGGGTTGCCAGGTCCCCCCTGGCCACCAGTGGGGGATGGGGGGGATAGGGATGCCAGATCCAGGTTGGGAAACCTCTGGAAACTTCTGGAGATTGGAGCCTGGGGAGGGGAGGACAGGGACCTCAGTAGGGTACAATGCCATTATACCCTCCAAAGTATCCGTTTTCTCCAGAGGAGCTGATCTCTGTAGTCTGGAGATGAGCTGTAATTCCAGGGGATCCCCAGGTCCCACCTGGAAGCTGACATCCCTAGAACACAGAAGTCCAGCATCTTGCCTAATTGTAGAACTTACAGGCAATAGATCATGGAGTGGGCAAAAGAAACTGCAGTCCTTTCACCCTTTTCCAAGAATAGAAAAATAAAGATTTCACCCAATCACCTGCTCCCTGAGTAGCAAAGGCCTTTTAAAACCAGGTTTCATTCTGCACAATAACTCTGGTCTCTGTCTGCACTGGCTTCCTCCCTTTTGGGGGAGGAGGGAAGGAAGAGCAATACAGGAACACTGAAAGCAGCGGGTTAATAATTAACTCCTACTTTCCTAATATTTGTTGTATTCAAAGTTTTGTCCTAGATCATTATAGCCACAGAGGCAGCTCCTAACATTACTACAGAATTTATCTAAAGGCATTACTGAAATGAATCTTGCATCATTATACAAATTAGTTACTGGTAACTTCACCTCTCCTGCAGTAAGTCCGCCAATGATTCGCTTCCGACGAGTAATAGTGCGGTTTTGAATACCACAATGTATTTGGGGTAAAAACGTTTTGATCTTTCTTCTTTCTTTAATAAAAACAGATAAGTAGTGTCATAATTGTATTTATAAAAGCCACAGCATTATGATTTAATTTCTGTGACTTCCTAGTAAACCATTACTAAGTTTAGTTTCTTGTGGATGAGAAACACCACTGAGGAAATATGGTATCTTTGTCATCAGAGCCATCAAGAGCATTCAGAACTTTCTTTTTTTTTGGGGGGGGGAGGTGAATATTTGTGTGTGTGTGTGTGTGTGTGTGTGTGTGTATGCCTGGAAATCATAGCTGACTTTTGGCAACCCCTAGTGGGGCTTGGATTTTTCAGAGAGGTGGCTTACTATTGCCTGCCTCTGTGTCCCGGCCCTGGTATTCATTGGAGGTCTCCCTTCCAAGTACTTGCCAGGGTCGGCCCTGCTTAGCTTCTGAGATCTGATGAGATTGTGCTTGCCTGGGCTATCCAAATCAGGGCAAGAACATTCAGAACTTTCATCATCCTCGATCATTCCACGTGTTTGACAGTCAAGACCACTGCAATAGACCTATTCATTCAGTGTCATCCTAAACACAGTTACACCCTTGTAAGCTCATTATGTCACTGGATGTAGAAAGCTTTAGCTCTGCTTAGGGTGGCAGTGTAAGAGAATCAAGCTTATCATAACACCATGAAAGGGATTCTTGAGGTGGGCTAGGAGGGATTTTAGAAATTTTATGGTGTGCCACATTTAGACCATATTGCACCATTCACAAGATTATATTTCAAGCATCAACCACTATGATTCCATTTAGCACATGCACATAACTTTCTTTGGCCAGCAAACAGGTCACCACAGCATCATCATACTTTTGTGCACATCCTGGATTTTTCCTGTCTTTCCCAAACCTGCTTTGCTGCAGTTTGTGAAAAACCACGGCAAAGCTGAAATGCCTGCTGGGGGGAGGGGGAGTCCAAATTTCCCCATTGCTACCTACATCAGTGTTATTTTTCCTCCCCAGTCCCCACAGTGGCCATTCCCCCTCCCATGGCACTGGGGGGGGCAGGTGAGGCTCTTTTGAATTTTTAAAAAACCAGTAATCAATATAAGGTGGCTAAGTGGAGAGGAAATGACAGGGGTCATTGCTGCAGTAACTGCGGCAGAAAGAATGTGGGGAAACCTGCCCTGTAGAAGCCACATTGCCACTGCACTGCGTTGGCAGCTGCAACAACAACAGGGAAACCACAGCAATGTGTTGCCATATGAAACAGACCACTGTAGTGCTTTGTTGCTTTCAGCATTTTTCTTCCAAGGCCTTTGCCCATGTGTTACCTTTAAAAAAAGCAGACTCCCCCCTCATTTTACATACAAACAAGTGGACGCATGGATAAATATTTGGGTATTCCCCCGCCCCCATCAAGTCTAATTTGGCCCTTAGAAGTTAGTCTCATTGAGCAAAGCAGGATTTACTTTTGACTAAAAATGCACAGAACCGGGCTATTAGTCTTTCTGAAAGCAGTCGGGGCAAGTTGTAGGACCCTGTAACATGACTCTTATGATAAAGCACTTTAAGGTTACCTGCATCCATGGATTCCTCCTCAGTTTCTTCTGCTCTTCCTGTAGTTAAAGATAAGTGTATACAGCTAATTTAAATTCTTATCAGTAAAAAAGGAAGAACTCTTTTATAAAGGGAACAGTTTTGTAGCCTATTCCACTATTTATTGTATGTATTGTCTTACAGCATTGTTTTCTACTTTTGTAATTCCATTTTGTTTTGTACTGTTTATGATGCATCATATCTGATAACTTGGGAAGGGCATTGTTTCTAATTTTTGTGATCCTAGTCCTATTGCATTGCTTGTTGGATGCCATCATGCTATTTGATTGCCTTGTTTAATATTGTGTAATCTGCCTGAGTCTTATGAGAGAGGTGAGCTATAAAGTAAATTAAAAAAAAGATTAAGATAAATCCACTCACACACATTCCTACTACCCTTGATGGCCAGGCAAACAGATAAGAGCAATTGCCTAGGACCTAAGAGACCCAGAGTTCAAATTCCCATTCAAACATAAAGCTCAGAGTGACATTGGGTGAAGAACCTATGTGAGGATGAAGTGGTAGGAAATTTGTAAGCCACCTTGATCTTCTTGGTGGAAAAATGAGATGAAAGTGTGATAGCAAGAAAAGATAAGTATTGGATATGTATCACACATAGTGCCTTGGACCAAGTCTAATTTTGTATATTGATATCCTTGAAATAAGATATCACTTTTGAAAAGAAACCGTGAACAGTGTGATACAATATCAAAACAAAAAAAACTACCTCTTTCATTTTCATCAGCTGTTTCATCACCTGTTTTAAAAAAATATACACACAAATTTATATAAAATACATAAAATAGGTATAGTTTACACTCTGTGTTATGAACTAGTCTACATCCTATTTATGTTATTTCTCTTTAACTGCAAAAGGGATCGCTTCCATAACAAAATTCAAAAATAATTCTATAGCATTTTTAACCTTTTTCAACTGCTTGGAGGGCTAACCACTTATTTAATCTTCTGTCTGGAAATGAAAATCACATCTCTGGCAGGTGCCAAATGGATCTCAGTTGCACTAAAATTCGAGCTACTGCTATTAATTCACTCCTTAGTTAAATATGCAACAACTCTGTTACTATTTTAATTTTAACCTGATATTTTAAAATACGTATTTAATAAGGACCTCTTCCTAAAGTGTTGAACGTTTTTCTTTCTCGTGTATTTCAACCATGGTTATATTGTTTAAAAGCTTGTGTGCTATGTAAGAAGAATTCAAAAACATAAGTTATATATTACCTTTTATTAGATCACCACACAACACAGCTTTCAAGGTTTCCAGAACTGTTTATCAGGCTTGATTTTGCTATGGACTAATGCAATTATCTACAACTACATGGTCTACTTGGGGAGAACTAGCATTTACCCAACAAAGAGATATTTCAGTGGGAGCAAAAAGAAACTAAGAATGTTTTACTAGGTAATACCACTACAGTTTTAGCTTACATTGGTTTTTGCTTAGTGCATCAACTTAATTTCTTTTATTTAGAAAATTTCCATGCCACATCTTTGGGGAACTGCTCAAAGCAGCTTACAGAATAAAATATAATAAAAATATAGAACATCACAAAAGGTACTATTTTTTTTAAAAAAGCATGAACAACATAGCCAAAGTATAAAACAACAAAAAACATGGAACCACTTAAAGAGGAGTTTTAAAATTAAATTAATCTCTAGGCTTCTTAATATAAGGACAACTTCATTTTGCCTTTGCCTCTTTTCCTTTTAGACAGTTCGGGTCTAGCAGAACCATTAAGTGATGTTTGTAATCACATAATGGCAACAGGGAAAATGCCAAAGACCTGGAGTGAAGCTAATGTTATAACAATCCCAAAAGAAAATAAAGATCCTGAAATCTCTTCCTCATATAGACCAATAGCCCTATTAAATTGTGACTCCAAAAAAATCTCAAATTTTTTAGCAAATAGACTCCAATTAATAATTCAAAAATATACAAAACCTGATCAAACAGGCTTCATACCAAAAAGATCTATGATGGACAATATCCGACGTACACTAAATATAATAACATACAGTAAAAAGAAAAAAATAGAAACCATATTGTTAACAATTGACCTTGAAAAGGCATTTGATAGTGTTGAAATTTCATATTTGCTACAAATTCTATCATTAATTAATTTTGGAAGTAAATTCAAAACTGCCATTAAAACAATATATGCTCACCCAACAGCTAGAATTCAAGTAAATGATTTTCTAACAACCATACAGAGGCACACACCAAGGCTGTCCAATGTCACCATTATTATTTGCCTTAGCCGTCAAGCCATTGGCAGAAGCGCTACTCACAACACCAGAAATCACAGGGATTGAAACTGAAGGAACAATACACACAGTGAGCTTATATGCAGATGATTTAGTCATTTACCTCACGAATCGAGAAAGCTCTTTAATAAAACTACAGGAAATATTTACAGAAATAAATCAAATCTCAGGTCTTAATGTCAGCCTAGATAAATCTAATACCTTTATGGACAACAAAAACTCTTAAAAGCACATTACAAAGAAAATTTTCTTACATATGGAAAGATTCTAAATGGAAATGCTTAGGCGTAATAATCCCGCCAGATCTTAAAAACATGATTGTATGTCATTTTGAACCCTTATTTCAAGGATCCAAAAAATGAAACAATGGAATACTCAAGGCTATTCTTGGGCAGGCAGATTAAACCTAATTAAATGCTTTAAACTACCTAAATATCTATTTTTATTTAGAGCCCTTCCAATAAACATTCCCAAAACGAAACTAGCCAAGTGGCAAATATCACTCTATCAATTCTTTTGGGCTTATAAAACCCCTAGATTGAAATTCACAAGCTTAACTCGACCCTCCACGGTGGGAGGATTAGACTTTCCAAGTCTAATATTATACTATGAGGCTATAAACCTGTCAAATATAGTCAGGACGATACATAGCAACACAGTTTGTAAATGGAAACAAATTGCAGAATCTTTTTCAAAACCTCTACAATTATCAGAACTTTTCTGGAATCAAGCCAAATTTAGACCAAAATCAATACAATGAAATTTTGCAAAATTCTTTGAACATATGGGACAAACAGGAAAAATGTATGCCCTGATATTTCCCAAATGGCCACTTTTACAAACCAACACTGGTTCACACCAGGACAAGAAACTATAGCTTTCAAAAAATGGAAACAAGCAGGGATATCTCACATACGAGATTTAGTTAAAAAAGAAAAATTATCTGATAAAGCTGAATTGGAAACAATTATTGGAGAAAAAGTCCCATGGTATAGACATTTGCAAACAAAGCACATGATCAACACTCTACAGCATACTGGAACTTTCGCAAGACCCTTGATTCCATTTGAACTCCTTTTGGAGAAACAAATTGGAGAGACTAAAGGTCTAATCCATATATATATATAAAAGAACGTCCCCTCACCGTAAAATCAACGCCCAGGCCAAACCGCTGGATCTAGAGACACAAAATTTGGGGAGAGCGCTCCTACCGTGGCGTAGGTGCTCGCTAAGAAAAGATTTTTAGAGATTAGACCCCTAAGTGGGTCAAAAGGGGGAAAATGTGCTCTCCCATTGATTCCTATGTGGCTACCAGGCAGCTGTCTCTCTGCATCCCCCCACTTTCTGATTGGTCAGCTGCAGAGCTCAGTATTCTGAGGTTTAAAAAAGCCAACAGTTACAGGGGACTGCAGAGAGCTAATGACAGTTGAGGAAATCAGGAGTGGCCAAGAACCACCTGTGAGGTGAAGCAAAGCTGCTGGCCCAGCCTCTCTGATGGCATCCAACACATTCCCCCCACCTTCTACACCGAACAGGAGGTTATTTGTCAGGTGCAACCCCACCTGCACAGTGACTTCTAATACCCCTCCCCCTCCTACACTGGACAGGCAGCTACCTGTCAGGTGTAGGAGAGGAGGTGGGATGGTTTCCAACACACTCCCCTCACCTCCTACACCTAACAGGCGGTTGTCTGTCAGGTGCAGCCCCACCTCCACAGTGGCTTTTAATACTCCTCCCCCTCCCCCTCTAATGCTAGACAGGCAGCTGCCTGTTGGGTGTAGGAGAGGAGGTTGGATGGCTTCCAACACACTTCCCCCACCTCCTACACCTAACAGGTGTCTGTCAGGTGCAGCAGTGGTTGCAGGGTGCTTAAAACCATGGAGGAGCCTGCCCCAGCAGTAACATCTTAGTGATCCTGCCAGCTCTGTATCCACAGCAGCCCCATAGCTAAGGGGTTTTGGGGGAGGGGTATGGGGGGGCCACCAGCCAATTAAATCAAAGTTAATTAAATTAACTTTGGTTTAATTGGTGGAATTCCTAAGGCAGCCCCGGCTGCAACCAAGGGCCTCCAGGCGAGGAGGACACGCAGGCGGGGTTCTTTGGTGGGGGAAAGTGCCATCCAGTCACAGCTGCCTTAGGGCGACCCCCTGGTGGGGCTTCCCAGGCAAGAGACGTCTAGAGATAGCTTTGCCCGCGCTGGTCTCTGCCTCACAGTTCCGGGGCATCCCCAGGCCCTCAAACGGCTCCAGCTGGACAAACTGAAACCCTCCTCTCTCCTGGTGCCCCACGCTTTCGGTCCAAATCGCCCCCCCCCCGAGTGCTTGAGACTGTGCGCAACCACCGGCAATTCCCAGTGCACGTCTGCGTCCCAGGAGTCAGGAGACAAGCCTTGCCTGGGTTTCGCCTGGCTGTGCACACAAGGGTCCCCTTTTGGAGAGGTGGGGAGGGGCCGAGCTCTCTTCTCAGGGCTATGAAGAAGCTCCCCCCCTCTGGCCTCCATGCTGCAGCTGCAGAGCTGGGGGCACCCAAGAGGAGCGCTGTGTGCCTATTGCCTTTGGCCAGCCTCCAGCAGCAGCCCATGATGGCACAAAATGGAACGGTCGGCCTTGCGGCTGGGCAGAGGTGGGGGGCAGGTGGACCGCCAGGGGATGTCTTGGAGAGGGGCCTGTAAAAACTTTTTGTTAAGCAAAATAATGAACCATTCAACTGAAGCTAATTTGCTTAACTATCAAAAGACATTTCAAGCTCTTTGGTTTCCTGTGGTAAATTACCTGGCAGATAAAGGAAGAATCCCTATTAATTCGCATTATCGAGACTGGTTATATTTTTGAATTGTTATAATGTTAATGCTTAACAGTTCAACCTGTTGAATTGCATGATAGTATGTGAGAAGATGTACTGTATGTATGTATGGATATGTTGAAATTGTTATTCTTTGTTTTGTATTTCGCATTGTGTTTAATATAATAAAGAAATAAATAAAAGGTACTATTTTTAAAAAAAAGCATGAACAACAAAGCCAGAGCATAAAACAACATAAAACATGGAACCACTTAAAGAAGAGTTTCAAAATTAAATTAATCTCTAGGCTTGTTAATATAAGAACAACTTCATTTTGCCTTTGCCTCTTGTCCTTTTAAAGGAGCTGTATTCCATTTTGTGTTAGAGAGACATTTGATCCATTATTACTTGTAATGCTTTCAGTTGGATAGCTTCCATTTTTTGATACTTGCTCGTAGGATGCTGCTGCAACCTGATACCAGGTACACACATACCCCTTTTTAAAACATCCATCATGGTGAAGAGTTCTAGAGAACTTAAAAGCTTGCACATGTGTTATTTTAGTTGGTCTTAATAAAATATCTACATGGCTGTTGTTTTTGAATTATGTGATGGAATCACTTGTCATTACATTCAGGTACCCAGTATAAAACTTTGTTGGTCTTAAAGGTGCCACTGGACTCAAACTTTGTTCTGTTCCTTCAGACCAACATGGCTACCCATCTATTGTCATTACAACATTAGCTTAGGCGGCATCCTGACTTTGTTGAGTAAAGGGTGGAGGGGGTGAAGAAATAACTGTGTCAATCAACCTATAGATAGCGAAGAAACCTACCTCTACACGACTGGTGAGTTTCGTCTTCTCCTGTTAAGCAGTCCATTTCTTTGTTACAGAGATACTCCTTTGGAATACACACATCTGAGTTACAGTGGAAGCTTTCACCTTTGCATTCTGTTGGAAATAGACTATTCAGCTTACAAGAGATGTGATTCAAGGGATCATCATCAACACAGTTATAGAAGGCTACAAGAAGGGGGACCCGAGATACTCGCCGGGGGAGTATTCCCCACAGCTCCCGGCCTGTAGAAGAAGGAGGAGCTCTGCAGGAGGAGGAAGCAACAGCAGGTGATCCCAGCAGGCAGACCCATCAGGCCCGCCAAGCCTTCTCCCTCCCCCAAGGGGGCGCCCGGCGCCCCGCCAAGCCTCCCCCCTCCTTCCCCCTCCCCCAACACCGGCGGCGGCGAGGCCCACCAAGCCTTCCCCCCCTCGCCCAACACCAGCGGTGGTGGTGAGGCCTGTGGCCTGCCAAGCCTTTTCCCTCCTCCCCCCAGCACCAGTGGTGGCGAGGCCTGAGCCCACCAAGCCTTCTCCGCTCCCCCCTCCCCAGCGGTGCCAAGGCCTGAGGTCGCCAAGCCTTCTCCCTCCCTCCCCCGGCACCAGCGATGGTAAGGCCTAAGCAGCTCACAGCCGCTGGCCCGCCAAGCCTTCTCCCTCCCCAGTGGTGGCGGCAGTGAGAAAGTTGCCAGGGCATTCTCTACGCATGTGCAGGGAACTTTTGGGGGGATTTAAGTATCCCCCATGTAGTTTTTTTCAACTTTTTAGATTTTTCTGCACACCTGGGGACTGCTCCAAGTGTGCTGGAAAATCTCTCTGCCCCCCAAGTACGCCCAATGTGCGGATTTAGATATCTGCATGGAGGGGGCAACTTGGCTATTAGATATATAGATGCACATCATATAGTCAGATTTAAGTATACAGACTATGCAATGGAACCAGGATTTTGAACATTTGCACATTATCAATGAAATGGCAACTCTTCTACTTGTGTGTGTGCACACAATCAATTTTGTGGAACAACAGAAGCAACTTCCTCTTTATTGTGATGGTGTGTGCCCTAGTTCAGGATTGGTTGTTTGATATAATGGAAGAGCCTGAGGCAGAAAGTTTCATTCACTCGGCATTTTTAATTGCATTTGTTCTCTACTCAACAAGAGAATTACGAAATTTACAAGAAAGGGCTGAAGTTCTGGTCTGGTCAATTTTACTCAGAGAGAGGTGACCCTTAACCCTCTCACAACTCATGGTGAGATTCTTCTCTATTAGATACCATATGGCTACAGACTGTCCAAAATCATGTTGGGTGGGGCAGATTGGGTGGGGACAGAACTAAGAGCCTGTGAGGAGAAGGATGTGAGAAACTCTTAACTTAGGGTTATTCCACAGCTTGCCTCCTCCTCTCACACTCCTTTAACTTGACAAGACAATTAATACCTGGCTTGTTTGAATGCATCGTACGAGAGAAATTCCTAAGATATATTTAAATTGGCTATGCTTGACATTTTTTGCCAACCATATAGCATCTTTCATAGACATGTGCTTCTACATACCAATAAAATATGAAAAAGGTCCATCAGCAGGCACATACCTTTGCAACACAATTCATCACTTAGGTCTCCGCAGTCATTTATTCCATCACATGTTTTATCTAAAGGGATACATTTTCTGTTGACACAGCGGAATTCGCTAGAGGAACATTCTGTCAAATGAGAAGAGAAACAGTTATTCTTGAAGAAAAATTGCTGAAGAAGGGGAAACTTCTTAAGAGGACTAGTTTCTAGAATGAATGGACAGAAGCAACAATAGGATCCTCTCCTGCGTCTTGGATTGGGTGGGGAGGGGATGGCCCGGAATTCACAGCATTTGCGTCCCGCAAGGACGAGCTCTCAGCTTACAAGGGGTGCCCCCTATGGGGTAGTGATTCCCCTACCACTGTGTAAACAGGTTTTGGTAGCCCTGCACGAGACCCACCCGGGAATCGTGAGGATGAAAGCGCTGGCCAGAAGCTACATGTGGTGGCCGGGAATGGACAGCGAAATTGAGGCCTGGGTGCAGCATTGCCAGGCCTGCCAGGAGATGCACCCTGAACCTCCGAGGGCTCCCGTGCGCCAGTGGGAGTCTACCCACACGCCGTGGGCATGGGCACATTTGGACTTTGCTGGCCCATTTCAGGGGCAGCTGTTCTTCACACATGCAGAACTATTCCAGCAGCTCCATGTGGATCCCAGCAAAGGTTACCCGAGTCACCGGACCCCTATCATACAAGGTATCGATGGATGGGGGCCGGCTTCTATGCAGGCACATAGACCAGCTGCGCCGCCACCTGCTGCCCGAGGAACCTGAATTGTCCTCCGCCAAGGAGGAGGATTGCGCCCTGGAACCAGCACCGCTGCCACTGCTGACTGAGAGCAACTCCCCCCACAACAACATGCAGCTGGATGGCCAGGAAGAAAACCCTCACAGGACTCCTGAGTGGTCCCTGCCTCACCAAGCCCAGCTCCGGTGTTGTCTCCACCCCCACAGGAGCCCCGTCCTTCTCAGAGGGAAGGATGCAAGCCAGCATACCTTGAAGACTATGTCTGTTAAGGTGCTTTGGAACTTAGGGAGAGAGGTGTTATGTATTGGGATTGAAACATCCCAGGACTGTTCTACCAGAGACTGGCTGAGCTTGGAGCACAAGAACAATAGCCCACTAGGACTCTGGAAGTAACCAATCAAGAAGTAATGTTACGTAAATAACCTATAGTTGGGAGTGGGGTGTGTTTGGGTGTGGCAACTGCATGCTATTTAAACAGGGCTGCGGCCCTGGAGTTCAGTCTTGTTCTTGCTGAAATCACTAATAAAGTAGAGCTGATCACTAGACTTGGGGTCTGCTCATCCATGGAACCCACTATTTAACAATCCTGCTCCTATAGAGCAGAATGGGAGCTCTTTGGTTGGCAGCCAGAACTGCCTGTCAAGCTTTGGAAAGCCACTATTAGCATTTCCAGGGCTACAGAAGTGCTTCAGAAGTCCATTCCCCCTATTGCTTTGACGATTGATCGGTGCCAGCATGTCTGTCCCATGAACCACCTTCAAGAACCTCTGCAAAAACGTGGTTTGTCAGAGGTTTGTTGTAGACACAATCCCTCAAACCTCGGCCTACAAACCATGAACCTAACATTTTTTGCTCGATCTTAGGTTCGTGATGAGGTTCGTGCCCATACGTATCCCTGACCCTGCCCAGCCCCAAACCAGAACTTTCTGCTGAATGAACTACAGAAGTACGTGAGTGCTGTGGCTGAAGCAGCCATGTGCCCTTCCCCTTGTGTGTACAAGGCAAAAGGGAACCTGGATGCAAGAAGACAGCTCAAACATACATCTACAGAGCTTTCTCCAGTGTTCCTCCTGATCACACCACAGTTCTTCTTCCAATGGATGTTGCTTTTTCCCTCCCTTATTGTGTTCTCTGTCTCCGTTCTGTGGTGGACACAGATGTGTGACTGCATGCATCACTGCATCACATGTCTGCAATGGTTGGCTGTTTTCACCCCCCCTGACAAAGGAGGTAGCAGCAGATTGATTGGTGGCTTGTAGTGGGGTTGCTATGGTCTCTGATGTAATTACTATGATCTCCGCACCCTGGAGTGGGGTCTTTTTTGCACATTTCCTCTTTGCTGAGTGAGTGTAGGAAACTGACAACTGGTGCTGTGCTGTTGTAGGGATTTTAGTGTTGCACTGCCCAGAACTTTGCTGTCTCTAATGATGGTGGTTTGATCACTGGTCTCTGAACAGAACTAGGATATTATACTGTATTGTAAATTACATTCCAATTTACAAGAACTCAGTTTCTGCAATGAGAACAGTTTCACTGAGACAAAGCAAGGTAATCAGTTCCTAAGCATGTTAATGAAAAAGTGGCACACCTTTGGATCGTATCTGAATTTTAAGGCCGAACACTATAATAATTTCCAGGCAAGAAGGACTAGTAAGTAAAGGTGCCATCAAGTTGCAACTGACTCATGGTGGGTCATGGTTTTCAAGGCAAGAGATGAACAGATATGGTTTGTGAAAATTATTTTAATAATGGTAAAAAGAGTAAATAGTAAATTTGCATTCCTTGTTCTGCCAATACACATACACACTCCTGTGATTTATTTTGAATAATATATTTGTAAGTTGTTTACAGAAAGACTTGGGGTTGAGCTGAAATCATCAAGATAGTGTCCAAATTCCTGCTGACTTTTGGCTTTAGTGCTTGGGATTTTATCAGTGGGCTTGTATCAATCCCATACATCATTAGTTTGGCAAGCCCTAAGTTGTAATAAAAAGGAAAGATGCATAGAACTCTGTAGTGTCAATGTAATAGTTCACTTCCTTGTTTCCCAATCTTCAGTGATAAGGCAAATTACTGACAAATCAGCTGATTTGTTCTAAAGGTTCCGGAGTGGCCGGGGCCGAGTTCTGCGGTTCTGGTGCTTGGACTGATGCTTCATCATGCTCCTGGGGCTCCAGGTCCTCGGGGTCGTCCGGGAGGACCCAGCGCCGCAGTTGGTCGATGTGGCGGTGGAGCAGTTGGCCGTCCTCGCAGGAGACCTCGTAGGATCGAGGCCCTCGCACCCGAACCACTCTCGCGGGGATCCAGGGTGGCCCCTGTGCGTAGTTCTTAGCGTAGACTGGGTCTTCCGGGAAGAACCCTCTGGCGGCTGCGTACGATTCCGTTGCTGGTTCCACCTCGGGTGCCCGGTCTGGGTGTAGACGGTCCAGCCGGGAGGTTAGGCGATGACCCATCAGGAGTTCCGCCGGGCTGCGGCCGGTCTCGGTGTGCGGGGTCGTGCGTTGGCCGAACAGGAACACCGCCAGCTTGTAGTCCCAGTCCTTACTGTCGAACGTGCGCAATGCTTCCTTGGTGGTGCACACCATGCGCTCCGCCTGGCCGTTGGTTGCCGGGTGGAATGGAGCCGACCGGACGTGGTGAATCCCGCAGTACCTCGTGAAGTCCTGGAACTCGCTGGAGGTAAATGCCATGCCGTTGTCGGTCACCAGGGTGTCCGGAAGACTGTGGGAGCTAAAAATGTGGCGCATTGCTCTGATGGCAGCCTTAGAGGAGGTAGACAGCACTGGCACCACTTCTAGCCACTTACTGTAAGCGACGACTAGAATGAAAAAGATTTGTCCCTGGAACGGCCCACAAAATCCAAGTGTAGCCGGGACCAGGTTTTGTGGGAAGACTCCTAGGCTCGATCTGGCGCTCGGGGCGGTGCGGGCCGGAACGCCTGGCAGGGTTGGCACTGTTTCACCAGTCTTTCAATGTCCTGATCGAGGCCGGGCCACCACACATAACTCCGAGCCAGCGTTTTCATCCGCACCACTCCTGGGTGAGCCTCGTGCAATGCCGCAAGCACTCGATCTCGGAGGGGGGGGATTACCACCCGACCTCCCCACAGCACACAACCCTTGTGTGCAGACAGTTCGTCTTTGCGCGAGGCATAGACCGCAAAGTCGGGTCCAGCCGTGACCAGTGGCCACCCCCTTCTCACCCAGTCCAGGACGCGGCATAGGATCGGGTCCTTTGCGGTGCGACAGGCCACCTCTTTCACGTGGACCGGCTGGTCGGGCAGGGTCTCTAGCAGCGCGATTTGATGGGCTGGGGCCGGGTCAGGCTCCGTTTCCGGCAGAGGCAGGCGGCTCAAGGCGTCCGCATGGCCCATCGCCTTCCCGGGCCGGTGCAGGAGCATGTAGT